CCTAAGAGGGAAACGAATCCGGATCATCCATATACGCAGGATCAATCTTGGGCTGTCCGATTCCGAGGTACATGGATCGTCTTCGTGGCCTCTCGCATGACATCGATGTCAGTGTGCCTTGCCACGTAGCGTGTTATGATTTGTCGAGATTACTGATTGGGCAGTCTTACGTGACTAAACTTTCTCTATTTGTATTTTGACCTATATTTTTAATTTTTTTTTCAAAAATACTTACGAATTTAAAGTCTTACCAATTTATTTCAAAAATTATTTTCAATTATATCTCTAACATATTTTTTTCAATTAATTAATAAAATTAAGTTTAAATAGATTTAAAACTAATATTTATTTATTTATTTATTTTTATACTAAAATTTGATCCCGATCTAAATTCCAGACGCGAATATTACAGTATTGTTCTTACACATTTGAAGTAGTTGACTTAATAGATAATAATGATTATTTTCGTTCTTGTAGTTAAAAAAAATTATGAGGTGATTTTTTGCTTTATCTTTTTATTTATTTATTTTTATTATTAATGTTATTATTATTATTATTATTATTATTTTCCAAATTTGGGAGTTTATTTCTGTATTTGGAAAAATAGGAAAGAGCCAAAAATGGTAATAAAATTTTAGGAAGGTAACTTGGGAAGGAGAAAACGGGAATCCTTGTCTGTGTCTCAACCTCACGGACCTTCTCTTCCCTTATCCTTTTGTTTATCATCACCTGTAAGCAATTTTAGCCAATTACCTCTCCACCTCCACTCCTTCTCCTTCCCTCTCGCTCTCTTCTTCTTTTCTTCTTCTTTTACCTCTCTGTCAAGCACATTTCCTCACATGATCCTCTCTTCCTCTCGTTTGTAAATGTACTAAGGTACTTCTTCTCCACTGTCTTTATGATCCACGTGAAGCGATTCCGTTCGGATTGTTAAGGAGGATGTCTTGTCTATTGCCGCAGTTCAAGTGCCAACCAGATTCATTTATTATCCACTTCAGAGCTCATCAGTACCATACAGCTACCACCTCCTTCCCCTGTAAGTTTTTTCTACTCTTTCATATTACGTTTCGTCGTGTATGTGGGCATATATTTTGTTCTCTTCCAGGAAAACTGGATATGCTCTAGGTATTGAATGTTTGTAATGCCGTTTATTTGGAGTTTACTTTGTTTGAATCTGAATGGAGTCGAGTGTGTTCTTTCCTTTGTTGTTTTCCCTTATTTTTAGGGCCACTCACTCTCAGTGGTCATTTAAGTTAGAACGGAGGCTATATTTTCTTTTCCTTTTTGTTTTTCTGTTCTGAATGATATTGACGTGCAAATGCTTAATTTTAGTTATAATGGGACGGGTTTTATCTGTTTCATGGAGGAATTTTGTTTAATGTCAATGCAAAATTATTGTTGTTCCCTTTCTTTTTTCAAAAAAGAAGTATTGTTGGTCCCTATTTTTTAGCAGGTAGAAACGTTATGCCTAAATAAATGTAAGTTTCTCTATTTACTAAAAAAATTGTAGATTTCTAGTGTTAGATTAGTTTGTGATTTGTCTTTTCTTTTTCTTCTTCAACCTGGTGAGTAATAGATTGTTTAAACTTTGAAATAGATTTTTGTTGGTTATCAAATTTCTGGGCGGTGGCTAATTTGGTTTGATTAATGGATGAAACTATTATATTATTTCTGAGAAGATGGAGCATAATGGCATTTTGCAACTGTAATTTTGTATGATAATGTTAAACGTGGGTAACATGGTGAACTCTTTGTCTACATTGTATCGGTGATTTCACTGCTCCCAGCTCTGACTGGTAAATAGTTAGGTTTCTCAACTGTTTCAATTTTCATTGTCCTATTCTGGTTCTGGCCTACTTCACTGGAAGCTGATCAGAAATATGGATGCTGTTTCCACACAAGTTATTTCCTTGGATGCTCTAAATATGGGTTTGTTATCATTTTTGTGAAGTCAAGTTTACTGAAAGAAAGTGGTTGAGATTTTCCTATATGATGTTTTATGTTGAGTTGTAGATTTCTTCTCTCAAAAAAATTGTTGAGTTGTAGATTTCTGGTTATTACTGACATCATCATCTACTTATTATAATTTGCAGTAAGAAATAAAGATTTGAATTGCTTCCAAATTCAATGTGTTTTATCCCCTACATCTCCATTAACGTCAACAACAACTTCTGTGCTTGATGTGGAGAAGTTGAGATTACCTTCTTTTGAAGACCATTCAAATTTTGCCTCTGCTAACAGACCATGGACATATACAGGGGCAATTGGCCCACCAGCTGAGGTGAGACTCGCTCGTATCGAATGATTTCTTGGCTTGAGTTTCATTTCCAAAGGAGGAAAGGACATGTATTTACTCTCTAAGTAATTTATTTCTCTATTAAGTTTTTTCTCCACCTTTCTCTACTTGTCATCTCAATATGAACATGCTTGAATATCTACAAATGGGTTGATGATCAGTATAAATACACTGCTTGCGTCCTCATGTGGAGTTTCACTTGTTGCTTGCTATGATAAGGGGCCTTCATCAGTAATTTAGAGATTTGCATCCAATCGGGTGAGAATGCCATGATCAAGAAAAAAGAAAAGAGTGATACAGCGGTTTTAATGTTTGATATAAGTTCATGACATGCTATGTGA